TCTGCCTTTACTCAAGTCGTCTTTGTTTGATATTAATATGTGTTTGTCTAAAAAGGCTCAGAGAGACAAAAAAAAAACCACAAAAAAAAACCTGGAGTCTCTAAGCAGCTATATGTTTGGCACATGGAGAACATCATCAAAAGAACATTTGCAATGAAACATGTTTCTTTTAACCTCTTTCAAAGCTGGGAGTGAGTTGTGCTGAAAAACACTCATAATTTATCAATAATTTGTTGTCATTCAGTTCTTTAAGCATATAAAAATAATAATCTTCCTAATTGGCGTTCTTAGTAGAGGCTGGTGTAATGAAATTCTTGCTTTTGTTCTGACAAAGGAAAATAAAAACCCCTGCAACACTTTTATTTGTAACTTTCATTTTATTTTTTTTTCTGGCATGTAAAGTACAAATAATTAAACAATTCCATGAAAAAGTCTTCAAGCGTCTTCAGCTGAAATCCCAGTAATAAATATCCTAGTCTAAACTGAAAGGTTTATTTTTTTATCTTTGTTTAAATTTGACATTGTTCATTTGGTCATGTTTGGAAGTATGAGATTTTGTAGTATTTTTTTTTGTGTAGTTTTTTTTTGTTGTTTTTTTTTTTGTTTCTGCTGACGTTGCTGTCGACAGAACTATTTGATCGTTTTTACCTTTTGATTTGTTCTACCATTCCAGGAAAAGGTAAGAAAAACATCACTAAGTTACTGCGTCCCCTCTTCTAAATAAATAGACACAAAATACAGTTGAGAAACAGAAGGACCACTCATCCCTTTGCAACTCTAGACACTCCAAAGAAAACCTTCCTGTAGCTTGTTGGAGCTCTGCGATATTTTCCCCCAGAGTTCTTGGCTAAGTTTGTGACTCTGAATTGATAAAAATGGCCTCACTGATAACATTTATTTGACAGATACAGAGGCTTTAATAGATTTTGATAAATTCAGCCCATCAGCGAAACAGGAAAGCATCTTTTGAGCAAACCAAACAAATCTCTCCCCCTGAAGAGAGCCGGAGCCTCACTAAAGGGGGGTCGCCTTCATCTCTCAGGGGCTCACAGAGTGGTTGGAAAAAACAAGACTGTGATTAGGTTAAATAATTAAAAGATTTTCATTTAACAAGACAAACAGAACACAGGCAGTAAAGGCATAACATCTAGCACACAGCATGTATGTTTATACACTTCAATTAGTTAAATATAGCAGTGCATTCTTTGACTATGGAGAACGTTTCCAAATCGTACTTCTAAAGCTGTTTTTCTATTTGTCCCCCTTTTTAAGAAACAAAATGGTGTAACCACAATTTTGGCAAACTTAAAATCTTTTAAACTTGCAAATATAATGAAATAAACCATAAATATACACAAAACATACTTTATACGAGGCAATAATAATAATCATAATAAATAGTTTTTAAGTTAACAATAAGTTAAAACTACAAGCTTAAAGTCGCCCAAATAATACAAGTTTGTTGGCGCTATTTTGAATTTTTTCAGTTTAAATTATTTTTATGTTGCAACAAAAGCTACCACAGACTTTACAAACACAATTGAACACAGTTTGATTGAAACAAAAGAAATCTAACTAAGTCTAAAATCTGCATACACTGTAAAAACTGCAACTAATAAAATGGAAGAAAAATAACAAACTGTACCCAATCAATGCAACCGAAACGTAATCTTCGACCCATGTGTGTTCTCTATGGCAACATCAACAACACAAATACACTAAGTTAACAAGTGAGTCCTGATATGTAAATGAAATCAAGAAATCACAGGAAAATGATATTTGAAATTGACGTGGGCTAAAACTGATGTTCTGTTAAGACGATATTCCTTTCCAAGTCATTGACAAAAGCTCTGCTAAAGTCAGCCAAATATGCAGTTTGAGCTTGCGTGGACAGAGCACGAAATATAGGGACCGAGGAAGTGGTCGTGGAACAATTTGGAGATCAGAGCTCTCATTCTTTTTTTCTGATTTGGTAACGAGTCTGTTCGATTTAGTCGCTTTCGCCTGAACAGTCGCTCCTCTTGCTATTCCTCAAAACCCTTTCAGTGTGACGTTTCTTTTTCTTTTTTAAAAAATATATATCATTTGTTCTCAGTCAATATAAAAACAAAGCACATTGCACTTACTGTTCCATAGGAAAGTTTTTTTGTCTTTTTTTTAAAATGATTATTGTTGTTGCTCAAGCAGTGTCTTACTGTTTCCTGCCATAGTCCTCGGCTCTCTGCCGTACATCAGGTGTAGGTCTCCATATGGACCGGGTGTGGGAGAGGTCACCTTTGGACTTTTTTCATGGCTGCAGTTCAATGTGGCCTGTTTTCTTGCTATAATGTCTGTCGCTGGGCTCACCACGTGCTCAAACTGGCTGTGCTATCACTTGCAGGAACCAAATGAGCTAGATTAGACCTTTCTGTGATTAGCTGTGGACGACAGCAATCGGCATTTGCAGGGGAGAAACAGTATGAGTCGGATCAAAAAAAAAAAATGTCAGCAAAAAAAGTATTGGCGATGTATTAAAAGATACAGATAAAACGGGCGATTTGAATGTCGGGGGAAATATGTGGATGCATTTTGTTTTTTTGTTAGTTTTTTTTGCCTCGGTCATAAGGTGAGTTGAGTCATCCCTTTTTTATATATATATGCCTTTTTTATACTGCATGATATGTGTGCAAATGTAGTGGATTTTAGCATTTGGTATGGTGTTTTTGTTTTTTGATTGAGAAATGGAAATCGATATGCGCAACTTACAATATATGCTCAAAATTAATTCTAACTCAAATTGTCGAGGGTCCTTGCTCAACAAATAACATAGATTTTTACAGCAATTATGTAGGGGATATTATAGTTAGTTTGTCCTTCTTAGTACTGACTTGCAAAGCAATTCTTTGGCAAAACTCAAATCTATCTCATCGTAAGGATTTTCAGTGTGAATCACCAGCACTTTTTGAATCTTTTTTTATTATTATTATCAATCTGCAAGCAGCTTCTTCAGTTTTACAGCTGGGCAGAGAGCCAATCTCACTGCAGCTCTGTCTGGGATTTTCAGGTCAAAGAACATCCATTGTTGAAGCAACACTGTAACAAAATTTCAAGACAAGAGATGCTGAGTGCGTCTGAACGCTCTAAAATACAGATGTGTCTTGTCAGGTCGTACCCTGGCTGTTGAAATGTATCTTCGTTTGGGTCCGATTTGCATTTGCCGGGTTTGTTGTTCCTCCAGATGCGGTTAAGTTTGTGTGAGATACGCGGCTCCTTCGCCCCCTCCCCAGATATCCCCGCCCATACACCACGCTGCTTCTTCCCTCTTTCTCTGTGAAGATCAGAGGGTTTCAAACGAAGCCACGCGATGTCCCAATTTTTTTTCCAAGCTTAAGAATCTGTAAAAATTCAGCACAAGGTCTTGTTCCTTTGTATGTATAAAAATAGATTATCTCTAATGTAATCCTTTTCAAAGAGACCGTCCTCTTTGGCTAACACAGCGTCACTTAGAAAAGCAAAAATGACTTGAATATAGCTGACCTTATTTAACGTATCATCATGCGCCTGTGTCTTGATATTAAAAGACACTCACTCTCCACATGGTACATCAAAAATCTGGGCTGCAGCAGACACTTCCACTAGACGGGTTGGGCCTTATTGTTTCATCAAGAGTGCCATAAATAATCCCTATGCTCCTGGGTTGGGGATATTTTAATCACCAGCTATTTTTGTTTGTTGCACCAAACTGATCGAGAGAAACTTGTTAAATGCTTTTTTTGTGATCAAAAAGGTAACTATGACACTTATTTGCAAGGTTGATGTACTGCCAATGTTTGAACGTTCAAAGTCACCAGGAAGATTTTTGAAGAAAACAATGGTCTTAAAGAAAAAACGTATCACTTTTTCCAGACTAAAAAGGTAAAATACAGAGCAATCTTTCTGCTTAATGGATATGTGTTCAGATATGACTGCAATCAGTTATCAGCAGTATAATCTATACACTATTGGACATAATGGATCCAGTTTAATCTACAAGTAGCATTTATCTTTAAGAAACGGAGGAATAATACTAGTGAATTTCACATTTTTGCTTCTTTGCGGGTCTGCCTTTATTATTAACGATGTACTATTTCAAACATGTTCAAGTTTTTCTTCCGACTATGCCCTCTAAGAGCAGAAACATTCAGCTGTAGTGAAATAAACCTGCCTGTCAGTGACTGTTTTTGCTTGCTTTTTTTTTTTTTCCTGACGGCAAACGGCTGATAGAAAGGCATTGCGGAAATAAAACCACTTTTGACGCAATAAAGCTTCTTTTGCAAGTCAGCCAAAGTGTAAAAACACCAGTACTTTTGACGCAGCTGTGTGATGATGAAACAGTTTTTCCCCTCACACTCATCACTCTCTCGCCCAGCAGAGAATTACTAATGAACGTCGTCACCATGGGAGCGCTGCTGCTCTGCTCTAAGTTCACAGACGGTCTGCCCGTATTCAATCCATCGCGTGGATGAGATCAAGTGAAAGAAAAAAAAAAAGAAGACAGCTTCAGAGGACTAAATATGTGTAAATCTTCCTATTACTGAACTGTGTTTTTTTGTGATACGTTAACTGTTCTATTGTGATATTTCTCGTGAGTCTGTGTGGATAGAAGTGATGGCCTTTGAACTGCTCTTTTCATTGACCGTTGAGCTAAATCATGTTGGGTCTGAGCTGACAAGCTCTGATATATAAGAGAAAAATGCCTTGAAGCGAGGCACCACCTAACGCAGGTCAGGAAACAGTAGTCAAAGTTTCTAGAAAATGCTTACATACTCGGCTATTATAACCACCTTAAATATTGAATATATAGTAATATTTTAATAGACGTATATAAGAGAACACTGTTTTTAGTTTCATTTTCTTTGATCTAAAAAAATCACTGATTCAAAATGCCCAAGTGTAAAAAAAGTGACTACATCCCCTCCAGCAGGATAATGGGAGAGATGGTGGGGTAAGAGTTTAGGTAAATTGCACGTTTTTTTTGTTTGTTTTTTTTGTTTTTGTTGATAATTTTGTTCATCAGTTGTCATTATTTGCCTGAATTCAATCAAAGCACTCAGTACACATTCTCTGTCACATTCGTTAGACTGTCTCCTAAATAGAAAGCTCTTCCCCCTTGCCCCCCTCCCTTTCAGAAAGCCCCCCATCAGCTACGCACCCCTTTTCTAATTCAATCCAGGCAAATACAGGGAAAGACTAGCAAGTTGTGTAAAGACAAAAGAAAGAACTCCACTAGTGTGTTTGTTTGAAACTCTGACTTATCTACGCTTGAGAATGTCTGTATGCTTTGTGTGTGCATGTGTTCTGTGCATCTGCACGTCTGTCTGTGTGTGTGTGTGCGTGCGTGTGTGTATGTGTTTGTGTGCGAGCATGTCAGAGAGAGAAAGACAGAGAGACTCAGTCCAGGCCCATGTAGAGTGATGGCGCAGGGAGGCTTCAGGTAGGACCCCCTGCAGGTTCAACCAGCTGCCACCGGCGGCGTCTGCTTCAGGCCTTGTGCTGCTTGCTGGTTTTGAAGGAAACCTGCAGCACGCGATCGCCCAGGCGGTAGCCGTTTAGACTGGCGATAGCCATGGCAGCTTCGTCGTAGTTGGTCATCGTGACAAAGCCGAAGCCCTTGCATTTGTTGGTGGTGAAGTCACGGATGACTTTGACATTGGTGACGGCGCCGAAAGGCCCAAAGAGCTGCCACAGGACGCTCTCGTCCGCCTCGGGCGACAGGTTGTAGACGAAGATGCACCAGCCGGCTCCGGTGGGACCGGTTAGGTTGACCCCGGCCAGACTGGTCATGCTGTCAATGGTGATGGGGGAGAATCTGGGAAAGAGAGGAGGAGAACTACCATGGGTGTCATTCTGAAGTTCCACATAGCATTCAGTGCTATAGATTATCTTCTAATAACTAGGTATCTGTCGCATTTGAGGATCCCCATCTCCATCCTCTCTCTGCTGTACAGTAAGTAGATAAATATGTGTGGGCACCACAGTGGCTCCTAACTGCCTGCTTTTATACATAATGACACTGCGTGCCCTGAGACAAGACACCCACACAATGTGCATTTATTAAATTTTTTTCCTCTGCTGACCAGAGCCTCTGGAAGAATTAAAAACACATGGATCACGATGTTCAACTGAAATCACAGCATTGAACAAAACACAGAAACCTAGAGAGGGATGAAAAGCAAACTGGAATCAAATCATACGAAAAACTGGAGCAAACAGAAGAGACGTAAACGGAATCTGGTATGTCCATGCTGGTGAAAAAAAGGGGACATTAAAGCAACTGAAACCAACAATGTTAGTTCAGAAATAAATACATAGAAATTATTCATATTGATTCAAATAAACAAAAGGAACGAAAAGGTTAAACAAAGCCATGCCAGAATACCCCGCTGTTAGGAAGGTACAGATAGTGCTTATTCAGTAGAATGGATAAATGGGCTGTGGGCATTAAGAATTATGGCCATATATGCAACTTCTTTTGAGATTAAAGCAGCATGTGGTATTCCGGGCACTTTGTTTGAAGGTTTTATTTTGGCATGAATGCTTTTGAAAGGACGCCTTTTGGCATTTACCTCTTGACTCCGTAGCTGGCGTTTAGTAAATTGTCGAGTCTGCAACGCAAGAGGGAGAGTGAAGGGGATGCAGAGGTTAGTTATGAGATCTACAAGGAATGGGAGTGGTGGGCTTTTTATGGTTAATGTGTTGCGTCTTCATCAGCTGGCCTGCAGAGGGCATCCTTCACTTCAACGCAGTCTCATATCATCCAGCAACAAATTTATCTTGTGACATATAGTCCTGCTGGTATTTATTAGTATTTATAAGTTACAATATCTTTTATTAGCGTTAATGTATAAACATATAGGCAAATTTGCATCTAGTGGCAAAAGAAGGAAAGATCCCACAATGCTTTTATTTTGAGCGATTTCTTTTTGCTTTTTGTCATTCAGCACAATTATCCACATAAATACAACCTTACCCGATAGTTTTGAATTTTTTTTTTTTTTTTGCAAGGTCTATGACTTATAAGCAGTATGCAAATCATAATGTATTTAACTTGATTCTATTTGTACTTGGAAAAATCTAGTTTCTTACATTGTGTTTGAGCTGCTATTTGGATCTGGTCCCTTTCCAAGTGAAGGGATCACACTGCAGTTTAAAAGAAAGTCAGAGAAAAAGTGTGAGGAGGAGGAGAGGGAGAAAGAAGAGGGAAAAATACCATGTTTCCAAATAAGAAATAGTAACCTAAAGGAGAAAATTAATTATAGCTTTTATAATCAAAATAATTTTGTTTTCTTTAAACAGTTTACATGTCTTAATTTTTGCATATTCCCACTGACGATTACGACCTCCAGCTTCATCTCTTAGCCATTTTGTGGTACAGATGTTGCATAAAAATGAAGAAACTGTAAAGATCTTCCATCTCTTTCAACTTTACAATGACTCACTTTTAATTGAGCTCAAAAACATGCTGTTGAAATGGAAATGTTTTTTTTTTTTTAAAGCAACAATAGAACAATAAATGAGGGACTTATTTTGGGGTAGGGTGGAGTTCAGGGCGGGGTTTAGAGACGGTTCAGTACCTGAAACGTTGAGTCTGGTGGTGCAGGGGTCCCGTGTAGCGGCGGGCAGCAGTTTGGTACAGCTGAGTCAGTAAGGCCTGGCCTGTTTTCTGGCTTGGGTTGTTGGCAAACTTGACTGTGATTGGCTCAGCGGCACCCAAAGGCTTCTGCCCGTTCAGTCCTTTGATGGCCTCCTCTGCTTCATTTCGCTTGTCAAACCGGATGAAGCCCACTCCCCGTGATATGCCTGCTCCGAAAACAAAATACAGAGGATTGGCGTGACTACCTTGGTGTTGGTGGGTCAGCTTGGCTTGAGGTGATCAGTTTTATTAAAAGGCCTTACCTGTAACTTGGTCCACTAAGATGCGGGACGTGATGATGCGACCATACTGGGAGAACAGTTGCTCCATGTCTTTCTGGCTCATGGTTTTGGGGAGTCCGCTCACATAAAGGTTGGCATCACGGATGGAGGCTGAACTTGGCCTGGCATATGATACCTAAAGCAGATTGAATAATCTGTTGAATCACAGATACAGATCCTTGTAAAAGTATTCACACATCTTGAATACTTTTACGGACACTATGATGTATTTAGTTGGAATTTAGAGCAACAGGACAAACACAAAGTACTGAAACAATGTGAAGTGGAAGGAAAAACATACATGTTAGTCACAAAATTATTTTATTTTCAATAGATCAAATGGATGATTTAAATAAATTTAGGTTTGAACTTTGATGGAACAATTTTAACACGTGAATATGCTTTGATGTAAATCAGTCAATTGTAGTTCTGGCTGCTCCTGAAGACAGGTGAACCTTTGTCCATCATCCCCACAGCATCATGCTCCCACCACTATGCTTCATTGCTTAGAGTGTTAGTTTTCCTCTACAACTAATATTGCGCTTGTTGGCCGAAAAGTTCAGTTTTACTCTCATCTTACAAACAGAAAATGTCATTACACATGCCTTTATGCCCAACCTTCCTTTCACCTTCACAAAAATACTCAACTTAGTGTTGGCCATCCCATAGAAGACCTCAAACATTTGTTGCAGTTTGTTTTTATAATATTACAAAGTTCAAGGAGTGTGAATATTCATGTTAAGTACAGTAAATAACCTTTAAATTACAATGTAAGTGGTAGTTTGAAGTAAGAATCCCGCTTATTCTCGCTCTTCTCTACAGACCAAGTTGTGTCTGTATTTACCTTAAAACATGACTTTCAGATTCATCACAGACACACTATTTAACAGCTGCGTAACCATTACTGCAGCTGAATCCAATCATTGCTTAACAATCACATGGGACTTCCTTGCTTTGCACTGAAAAACATCGGCTTCAGTCAATACAGTTTCCCAAATTCTCCAGTGAGTTAATTAGTACAGCGTCATTTTTGATGCATCTGTTCGTATCCCACATGGCTGTTCTTCTCAGTCTCATTTCAGTGACCTGTTTTCTGTTATGAAAAAATAATATCTAAGTGATTGTGTAAGAGGCTGACCTCTTGTTGCCTCTTTTTAAAAAAATAAAATAAAATAAAATAAATCCTGTTTATGGAAACATGAACGGTTGAGTGACAGATAGTCCACTGCAGTTCTTTGTTAGGAGTGGTGTGTTTGTGTGTGATGGAGAGACAGTGTGAGTGTTGTTGGAGATAGGCTGAGCCGTTCTCCCTCTGTCCTGCCTGCTTTCTTTGTTTCTATTCTCCAGGGTGGGTGGAGGGGGGTGAGCGAAACGCTCCAACCGAGCAAACAGTGAAACGCACCTTAAGGCTGGGAAGAGTTCTCCCAACTTATGAATATACTATTCACTAAATACATTTACAGACGTCTGTGAAAATCGTACAGTCGTTTTGCACCCATGTTTTACTATTAAAACTACTCGGTGCTAGTTAATTGGTCAACATATCTTTCAGATGAATACAGGTGCTTTGATTTCATAAATCAGCACAAAGGACCAGCGTCTATTGTGTCCACAGAGGGACTGCGTGAGCAGGAGGGTTGTGCTGCGTGGTGATTAGGGTGTTCTGGACGAGGCGCGGGGGGGAGCTGCTCCGTTCGGGGAGCAGAGGCTGCCCTATAATTAACCCTCTCGCTGTCGCTCCCACAGTACAGATGGTGCCTCAAGCCCATATGGCCTCTAATCCCGTCATTGGCATTCTGCTCTCGACCCCTCCATCATCCCCTCCACCCACTTTCCCCCACACCTTGATCTTTTCTTTGAAGCTTTCTGTAAAATCGGGAGAAGATTGGAGTACTGACATCAGCTACTGTGTTTTTATATCTAAGAGTGGACATTTTCCTTCTTAAGAATTATCTTTACGGTCACTGTGATAATAATTGGCTTTTTGCTTAGATATTTCCTTGCTGTATGTTTATCTTTGACTTGACCTAAAGTTCATTGTTGAGTCAGAGCATCTGCTCTGTAGATCCTGCAGTTTGTCTCAGCCTTTGATCAAGTTTGAGATTGGATGAAATTAGAGATTAATAATTTGATCCCCCCCCCCCTACTCCCCACCACCTCTCTGTCCATCATCTGATTTTGGGACAAAGAAGCCCCCTAATTAGCCTAGATTGAGGACAGATGGGCTAACCTGCGCTGACCCATGTGTGCCACAGTCAGGCTGCCTAATTGCATTTCCATCACAAAAACCCTCCGCATGTTGTCCGCCCCTTGCTTTCTGACCTCCACTCTCTCCCTCTCCTTTCACCCTTTCTCATTCTTCTTTTGTTCATGCTACCACTCCCTTCTGCCTCTCCACCCCCCCCACCACCCTTTTGCCCCCCTGTATTTGCTCCCCTCCTGCTTTGACATCCGTTGCCACCTCTTTCACCAAACCCCCTTGACAAAATCTCCACTTCCTTCCTTTTTTTTTGTCTGGAATGTTGTCAAGAATCCAAAATGAATTTGAAGTGATTCTGTTCTCAAAGCATCGAGTTCTGCCCACCTTGATTGTTTTAGTCTGCAATTTGAGACCATTTAGTGTGTTGATAGCCTTGTCTGCGTCATTTGGATCCACATAGTTTACAAAACCATATCCCAAACTCTGACCTGCAGGAAAAGACAGAATGACAGGGGATGTTGAGATTTTTCAAAACCACCTGGAGTGACTTTTTCAGCCCATGCCAGTTTTGTACCTGTTATCTTATCTCTGACTAGCTTGCAGGATTCGATCTCTCCAATGCTACCAAACAAACTTTTGAATTCTTCCTGGGTCATGTTCTGAGGCAGATAGTTGACGATCAAGTTGGTTTTGCTGTCATCTGTGGAGCCATTTGTGCTAATGACTGGGCCGTTGGGCAGACTGGTTCCGCTTGGACCGTTGGACACCTGCGTTTCCATGGTGCTGATTATCTGCTGAGGAAGAGGGTGGAATTAGATTCATTATTCACAAATAGACTCTGCAAAAGTAAACCTTTAAACATGCTTCGAATCCATTATTTAGCTTACAGTGATACATATGCTAATAGAGGCTGCACACAGCAGAGCACACAGAGGCAGCTCACTCTCTAAGCATCAGAAGTGCAGGTCAAGAATCAGCGTTGCTAAAATGGAGGTGGACAAGGTCTGATTTATCATCCTCCCTTCCCCCTTCTGCTCCATCTTTTCTGCTCTCCTACTCCCTGCCTCTGGTCCTGCAGATGTCACAGTCCCTTTTCCTTACTCCTCCCATCCCAACCCCCCCTACTCTTCCAGGGTCAAACATCATTACATCATTACACAGGGACGGATGGTCAGAATGGTGGCTACCAGACTGGCACAAAACCAAGGGAGCTGTCAGATGGATTTAGTGCTCCAATAAATAATTCATATCATGGTTAGCTAAAATACTTTTTTTTTTCCAAACAGTTTTTGTCTTTGGACTCTGTGGCCTTTAATTTCCCAGTTTTTAAGTGAGCACAGAGATGGTGTATAGTGGAGTATTTTGTGTTGCTTTGATGCACCTAATTAGAGCCATGCAGAATACCAGAAAACGGCAACAAAGACAGACTTCCTGCTCCAGTTCCTCTCCCTCGGCACCAAGCTCTTTGAGACCAGATCAATATTATAGTATATTATATCATAGACAGTCACAGCAAATGTTTGTGCGTGTGTGTGTGACTGTGCGTGTGTGTTTATTCATACCGAGTTTAATAACACTGAATTGAGCTGTACTTTATTATTATTCTGGAAAAGCCAGACTTTTACAAAAAATATAATGAAAAAAGGGAAAAATTAGAGAATAAGAATACAAAATGGTGAAGAGATTTTTCTACTACAGCTTAAAACTATTTGTTTTGTTGTCTGATTTTTTAAATTTAAACACTAGGTCTACATTCACGTCAACAATCAAGTCTAGATTTTGATACAATTAGTTATTAGTTTTTAGTTGCCTAATTTTTTTTGTTTTAAAACAGTTATTGATTAAGGAGTATTTCTATGACTTGTTAGTACACCTGTTACATCATCCAACCACATTTTTGTATTTCTTTTTTTATTTTCTTGCATTTTTTGTACCATTCTTGCTCGCAATTTTGCAATCTGAGTAAATACTAATGCTTGTTGGGTCGTTTTGTAAACAGTTACCTCAAACTCTATATTTGACTTACAGCAGGTTGTTAATTTGTTATTATTTGTTTATGGCAAGAGGCTCACCCTCGCTGAATCTCATGGGGAATTAAAACATTCTACCAAACAATAAAAGGAGTTAATTATCAACTTCCACAAATTATTCCCTAATGTTATTCTAAGAAAGACCAATTTGATGGAGAAATACTGCAGATGTAATTTAAATGTATTTTTGACAGACGATATTTCTCACGACTTGTGAGTGCCTCATTGACTTCATTAAAGTTCTCTTGATATTCTGTTCTAGATCATAATTTTGCTACTTTTATTGTTTCTGTTTCCACACCCTCTGAATTAATAAAGTACTAAAATTGAACAAATTCCTGTTTTGTTTTTTTGTTAAGTTTGATGGGTTTTTCTAATAAACTCATTTTTACCTAACCTCAGCATCCATCTGCCTTGTTTTGAGACTCACCTTGACTCAGGTTGCCCTGGTTACAGCCCCTCAAAGACGACAGTGTTTCTAACGGCTGACAAACTTCCTTACTTAACTATTTGTTTGTTGCTTGTTAGCAGCAGACACACAGGTTAGATGTATGTCGTACACATGCTGATAATGTTTGTCTTTGTAGAAACAAAGAACAGCGTGGTGACAGTTGAGACAGTGTAAAAACTAAAATACATAAAATGCACCTTTATGTACAAAGGTTGAACAGCAAAAAGAACAACAGCCTGTCATGTAAATATTTTTGATATGAAGCTAAAAAGATACCTAAAATGATATGACTCCCTTTAATGTTTTATAAAGAAACAGACTGCTTTGTTGTTTTCATGCTAGTAGTAGTGCATTACTTTGTGGGGTGGAATAAACAAAATTTGTCCAAGTAATAGCAAAAGCTGTATAAAACAAAGGGTGGGGGAAAGACATTTTCAGGGCAAATTTGACTCTCCAACTGGAAAACCTCAGAGAGGCAGAGTAAGCATTTCCAGCAAACAGTGTGAGGTTATATAATTCATAAATCCACGGTGCCTCTCAGACACACAAGCAGCAAAATAAATAGATAAATTAAAAGAAGCATTTAACAACAACATCCAGCTACAGCATGAAGATAAGAATACATTTAACAGATTTATGCTTTACTTGAAAGCATAACGGTATATAATTCTAACAAAAGCAAATAAAAGCATGAAATGCTAAATAAATGTTAGTATGCGCATGTAGTGCAATCGTAAGTTCTGAGATATTGAACCAGAAAATAAATAGGAACACTAACAGTTTCTTAGATACATTGCTCACCTTTTTATTTCTCTCTGATAAGGACGAAACATGATAACTAATTCCTGATTTTAAATCTCCAACACACCAACACAGCTGTTTTCATCACGTTGGGACCCCCGCTGCCTGTTGTTTTTATTTCTATTTTAGGGGTTCTGTGAGACCTCCCTTAATATTTAATGGAGTGCATCAGCTTCGCCCACACACGGTCCCAGACTTGCACGCAACAAGAGCTCAGCCTCCACCACCAAACACATGAAACCAGATTTGCACGCAAACAAGAGGCCCTGCCTCCCTTCGCCAAACACACCCCACCTACACTGTGCACAATTAAATTAGAAAACAAAGGAGCGTTGCAAGACTTAATGTAAATGTATGTCTTGTGGTCTCTGTCCTGTGATGCATTCAAATCATTTCTGCTCCAAATGCATTGGAGCACTTGGGGCTGTATAATACAGAGGAATAGCATGTGTCTCACAAAGTTTGCATGTTGCAGTTTAAATTGGGTGTTACAGTGAAATGCTGTGATTTCAGTGTTTATTTCCATAGGAACTGGATGTACATTTTCTAGTAGCATTAGCTATCTAATGGTCAGCATATATAATAATTGACAGAAGTAGAAAATCTGTATATAATATAGCATTAGGAAATAATTTAGACCAACCATTTTGTTTTATCAAAACATAACCTAAGCAGCAGCTTCTTCTTCTTTGTATACAAATGATTTTAGGTGTGCAAGACAATAATCTAAAACAGAATGCTAGTGTAAAGTGTAAATGAGCCATCTAAATAACACAGATTACAGGATTATCCCAAACAAAGGGCATTAGCCACATTCTCTGCAGCTTAGGGGATCATGGTGGCAGATGTAACACAACAGGACGACCGGAGTCACAGCTCTTGTCAGCCACGAACAGAGACTCCACACAGTCAGATGACAAAATAAAAGATTTCTCAAAGATCGCAAAGATCCCTGGGTGTTATGGACCGCTTTGATAAGATGACAGCAGACAGCGTCAAAGGCTGCAGGACACAAATCTGTCTCACAAGTCCTTGGATCATGCGGGGCGCTATCCAGCGTGCTGAAAAGGGAGTGGCTTTCGGACAGGCTCTTTTGAAGACACAGATGGCCGTGAAACGACCAAAAGAAAATCGACTTTGTTCATGTATTTCTTTTTTTCCTTCTTCATTTCGAACCTCTAAGCACCGATCCGTAAAAGGAATATTTCAAACCTATTTAGACAATTTAAAGGATCGACTGATTTCTCTGTTTCTGCTGTGCATCGCCTGCTTTTAAATCAAGGAACTGGTGAGCTCTGCTGGCATTCATAAACCAGAGCGCCTATTTGCTGAATAAACGTATTGAAACGACCAAACAAAAGAGCCACCCGTTCCTCCTCTTCTCCCTCTCGCAGAGGGCTATGGCAGCACTATGAATATTAATGTAAACAGTGGCGCTTTGTGTCGAGGCCAGGGGCTGCAGGACTCTCCGGGAACAATGATCGTTACAGTTGCCATCTCCAAGTCAAAAAACCCCCAAAGAAATGTCCAATATCCTCAGTGCAAAGCCTGTTTTGTTTATATAGTATATAATGTTTGTATTATTTTTTTTCCTCTTTTTTTTATTTCAGAGTCTTATATTTAATTGTGCTACAATAAAATAGTTCTCTTCTTTTACAATACATTAACATGATGAATAAAAATAGATTCGCCATAGTAAAATAAATGCTGTTTATCAAAGGGCTTAAATATAGAATTAAAAAAAGAAATACATGAACAAAGGTCATTCATTTTTATATGTAAATATATGCTGACCTACAAGAAGCAGATCTCTGCCTATATAATCGCATTTATCGCTTCTTTTGATATTTTCACTCTGCATAATTTGCCCTCACCTATAAAACCGAATAAAATAAATAAATAAATAAAAATAGTAATTTTTAAAAAATTTGAAAAAAGGATTCACGTCTTCAGTATTTTACTCCATGTAAGGCCCAGTGAATGGGGCGAGAAGTTTTTACCTTATAAGATCAAAGAAACGCTCTACAGTGATGGCCTCGCCTGTCCTTGTCCTTGAATTGTGTAAGTGCTTTGGAAAGGTTGTCTGACTCAACGCTTTTATTTGCTTGGCACTGCGGTACAGGCACGGGGGGCTGCGGACCATGTGGAGGAGAGATGCTGCTGCCACTATATATA